AAGACAACACAAACCAGTCTGCAAACAAAAGCGAAAAAACCACGCACAAATGCAGTCCAATTAAAAATTTGCTCAATGGAAAATTGATTAAACGGGTTTCTCTCGCTAGCGCGCTCCGACTATTTGGTGTATAATTGGATATATATATATTTTTATTCTGGAGAGTGCAAAATAAAATTAAAACATTTACTAGTAACAAGTCGATAAATAGTGGCGCATGTTTGCCATGAATTTCGTTGAAAATGAAAATCCAATGCGATGCACCGTTCCGAATTTCAAGTCCAACGAATCAACCAATAAAAAAAATGCATGGAGAAAGTATCACGAACCAAAAAAAAAACCACGTTGATTAGAGTTTAAACGCGTAGTTGAAATTTTGCATACGTTTTAACTGGCAAAACCGATCGACAATGAATTCGATTCAAGTCAGCCTGTGAGCCGGTTGCAATCGACTGAAGCACAAAAAAACAAGAGAGCGGGAGAGAGAGAGAGAGAGAGAGAGAGAGAGAGAGAAAACGTACATTAGATCAGAAGGTATGGTTGATTATTATCGTATTTATTTTTTATGGCCGAAAAAAAAAACGAGAGCGACAACTTCAAAATGGTTACAATACACAATTCGTCTCTATTTGTTTATATTTAATATGACGTCACCACTTTTAGTTTGCCTACGGAAGAAATAACAATAAATGAAATAGAATTCGAAAATGTGTAATAATAATAAATGTGTGTGTACACTTTTTTTTATCAGTAAACATTTTACAAGCGTGTTGTGTGCCTGTGACAGACACAGATTAGAGAAAACATCACTGAAAAATACGGGCTCGTGTGTGTTTCTTTTATTTTTGGTTCGCTCTTTTTTTTTTCATTTCGACCAGAACACCTCACAGGCGGCTTTCAATAGTTCTCTTTCATTTATACGGTGTTTTTTGTTTTGTTTTTGTGTTTCTGTCTTCAGTTCAAAATTTATCTATTCAAACGGATCGAACAGTGTTTGAACAAACGGAAATTATTTCACGTTTTTTATTTGAAAGACTTTATATACATTGACGATGTGCACATTTTATTTTGTCTTCGTATAAAGAAAGTTTACAACAAAATTTCGCATAATTGAAAGTAATTGCTGTGACTACAGACAGGTTAGTCAGGTAACTATAAATATTTAAACAGATTTTCACGCTACATTTCAAAGTGTGATTCGAAATATTAAAATTACCAAACTAATAATTGAGAGAGAGAGAGAGAGAGAGAGAGAAGGAGAAAGAAATGTGTTGGTTTAACTCTGCTGAAATGTGCATGTATTTGCTTGCAAAGAGTTTGCATGTGTATTACAACGTGTGCATACATTAAAATATTGGGAAAGAAATGAAAAATTTCGCCATCTATATTGAGAGTGATGGTGGTTTGTGTGTTTGAATTGTGAATTTTTTCTGCGACGTGGCCACTACTAGATGCCTTTGTGCCACCAAAGTGTATCATCGACACCGTTCGCGATCACCATCGTTACCCCGCTGCGTCATACACACGCATACACAAGAGGAAAGACAACAACAACAACAACAACAACAAAAAACACAATATGTATATTCTTACACAAATGTGAAAAACAATATCACATTAACAGAATACCTAATGATGCTAATATATATGGTCAGTTTATTTCGAAACTAGTTCTTGTTTCTCTCCCGGTTTTTTTTTCGGGCGATTTTTCGTTTCTTTTTAAATTCTCTTCATCATTTTTTCTGTTCGCTTGTCGTTTTCTTGAATCGTTCGTTGTTTCGTGATCATGCAAACAGGTAAATACATGTTGAATATTGGTTTACTGCTCGAGCTGCATAAATTATTAACGAAAAACTGTTCAAGTATACAGGCACACCACACCACACACGGAATTATACATAGGTAGAATATCGTCAATAAGCTCCTTTGTGAGTTTTTTTTTCTCTGACCGTGCGTTCAAGCCATTCGTTCATTTGCTCGCGCGCAAAAAAAAAAACCACCTAAACCGCTTGATTGGCTGATAGACGCCAGTTGATTTTGCTGACGATGTTTGACCATCCCGTGTGACACATTAGCAAATATAAAACGTTACGCAAATTGAAACGTGCATACAATAGCCACCCGAAACCACGACGTATGTGAATCGCTTGTAAATGTGCGAACATATTCAAATTGAAGGCACTCTTTGTCGTGTAATTCGTTGTTGTTGTTGTTATCTATTGAAGAAGCAACAAAAAATGATTCATTGCTCGCTTCAAACGACGTGTTTCAATATTTGTTATTCATATTAAATACGGCCTGGGCATATATTAATCACTTCGGTCACACATTCGGTTCATTTTACTTCGATGCGACCACCGGTCGGTATGAAATTGCCTCGTTTGCTTGTGGTTTGCGCACAGGTCCACATGTGCCTACTCAAAATGTTAAGCAAATAATTGAATTGAATTTTAAATAATGTTCTTGATCCGCAATCCGCAATCGAAACCTAACCGTTTGTCTATTCATGCTCGGTCTTTGGCATTTTGGATTTCAAGAAATAATAATGAAAAAAAAAACGCAACGAATTAAAATACACCGAATCAAACGCGTGCTATGATTTTAAACAAATGAAACGGCTATAAATGCAAACGAACCGAAATGCTCAAACATTCGCTTCTTTTTCTCCTTTTTCAAAAGTCCAATGATTTGATATTTGTGTGAACTTGAATTTCATCATCAAAATCATGGTAAAAGCGCTCACGCCCGTTTTTGTGTCGTTGTCATTTGTTCGATTGTTCCATCATATAATATATCGAGGTATCATGATTTTAATTATATACAATTTTTTTTTTATTTCGGGTAAGTAGCTTCATGAATGGAATTCACGTTGTGTGTACCACTTTTTATGTGCTTTTCTTACCGTTCACTCTATCTCTATTGCTCAACATATTTTGCTCAACATCTTTTGCGTTCGTTTCATTTTTCCACCTTCTTCTTCTTCTCCATTCGTCTCTCTCTCTCTCTCTCTCTCTCTCTCTTCGCATGAATTTTTGCCATTTAAAAGTCGGGCGAGAACACGGAAAAGAACGAATGAATCAACTGGCAATGGTAATAGTTCAAGTCATATGAGCCGTGTATTGTATATGTAATTCCCATCCATAGTTCAGGGAAAAAAACACAAACGTCAAAAGCTAATGGCAACAGACAATTCGTAAGAAGGTGTATGAATAGAGCGATATCATGTGCATTGTATTCAATGGTGATCATTGTTACCACAATATTTTACTGTTGATTTTGAATATGTAAGTGCCATTCATTTTGGTTGCGTGGACCCACATTGTCCGCACTTTGTGACCAGCCGGAACCGTTATACTCTTGATTTAGTTATTCTTTTTTCGCTGTTGTTGTTATTGCTACTACAGTGGACGAAGCTCACCGAACGAATATAATGATCGATTTCATCATTTTTTTCTTCTTTAACTGTTTCGAAGGGGAGTTAAAATGAAAAACACACAATGAGAGAGAGAGGTTGGAGAAGATTGGGAAAAGATCCCATGATGAAAGTAATCATTTGTGTATTTTGGCGATTGTATTGATTAATGGAAGAAATTCGGCGAACGCGTAATGGCAACACACAAAAAAAGATGATCGATTCACATTCTCATTTTTATGAAGCAGCAACGATAGGTACCATAACACATATATTTTTATTCCTCTCTTACAGATTCACGGCACAACTCAACATGGAACCAACACTTAATTGATGAGACAAAGAACGAGCTGCGGCGAACTTCATTAAATATTTGGCACTATCGTTGTCTTTGGTTATCTAGCTGTATGAGTGTAATGAACGTCATAAAGCTAGCTTACCGAAGTTAATATTAGAGCCTGTTCATCAAATTAAAAAAGAAACCGACGCAACCATCCGATCAGACCGACACAATCCAGCAAATCCCAATTTTGGAATAGACAACAATCGAATTGGAGCAGAAAATATATCCAAATAAATGAAGGCATCAGAGGTTATCAGCATTCTTCACCATCACAAACTAGTACCGAATCAATCCTAAATGAAATGAGAACAATAGAATTCATTTAATTTTTTTTCTAAATAAACAAATTCAAAGAATTTTCAAGTTTTTCTAAACTCTTGTTAAAACGCTAAGGAAAAAAAATGCGAATTTATAACGAAAAAAATCAACAAAAGAAAATGCGAAAAGACCTGTATTTTGAAAATTGTGTGCTTCCAGTTTTTCTGTTTTATTTTCATAAAATGTTTCATAAGTTATTCCAGTTGTTTTAAGTGGTTTTCCGTTTTGAATGTAAACGTTTGTTGTTGCGGTTGCTGTTTTAGTAATTTTTCGATTCACAATATATGGGTATAAACGATCAGTTTTTTTTTTATTTTCAATCTGAACGTGTGTCACTTAAAAGAGGGAGAGGGGCGATTACAATTTCGACATTTTTTCTTACTCTTTTCTGTTACTGCATTGTTAACATTGATAATAACATAAAACATGCGAATATTGTGTTAAATTTTGGTAGAACTTCTGAATACTTAACTCTTCATGCAAACATTTATTCATATCACATTATATCTAATTTAGTTTCTCAATTACTATTATTATTATTATTCTGTTTTTTAAGATTCTCCAATTAAAAATGTCACAATTTAGTGGCATTTGGTTTTCGTAAATGTAAGCGCGTTCACCATTCATATCAGCGAACTATTCGTAAATGTTTAAGGTAACAGAAGGAAATCTCTAAGATCTGATTTTATTTTAAAGGAAATTCGAATATATAAGTCAAAGGCATTTCTCGTTTTACATAGATTATTTCTTTCTTTCTTTTTTCTTTGCTGTTGTTGTTTGTTTGTTTTTTTCTTAAAAAACATTATTATGCTTATTGAGACAAACAAAAAAATGATATTCCAATTATTTTCCAGTTATACATGAATCACTACAATCCAACCCAATTAAATGTGTTTGTGTGTATGAATTTCAACGTCAACGTCCAGATCAGATTCATTCATAAATTGATTTGAATTTATTCGTGTTTGTATTTTTTGTTTTACATTGTTCTAAAACAAAACCATAATAAGAAGCAAATAAATAAAAAGAAATTATTTATATCGTTATAAAAAAAAATTAGTTCACAGCTTGTTTTTTTTCTCATTTTCTCCATGTATCTCCACACAATTTTGAAAGAATCAGTAGTTCGGCTACACACGTTTCATTCTCCCATTCATACAAAATATTCTGGTTGTTGTTGTTAAAAACAATTAATCGGTTTTGGTTTTCGAAACAAAATGTTTCCACGGTTTTTTTTCTTGTTGTTGTTCTTTTGATTAATGTTTTTTTCAAAAACATAAATTCCATTTTGGTTTATTGGTTGACAGTTAACATGCGAAGAGATTTATCAAAACCCAAGTTACAAAATGTAACCAAAAAAAATGTTGTAATAAACGTCTATGTGGTCATTTATGTTAAATTCTTAATTTAAAAAAAATATCAATATTCTTCAGTATTATTATTATTATTATTTTCTTCGTGAAAACCGTTTGTTGTCTGGGTGTGTGAGTGTTTTTTTTTCTTCTCTGGCATTTTTCCTGTTGTTTTGTTTGCGATTTGTTTTTAAAAGTAGAACAAAGTTCGACAGTGAATAATTTACATTACATTGTTCTTCCTTCATGTGTTACTTCATTTTACTTTTACAATGAAATTCATTTAAATCGTTAACGTTTTTTTTTTGTATGTTTGTTTTGTTGGTTTCGTGTGTGTTTTACATATTTTCTTTATTTGGGGTATTCGTTCGCTTGTTAATGCTATGTCAATTGATATTTTCGCACAAATACGATGACATATTCGTGATGTTGAATTTTTTTTCGCTGTTGATGCTGGCTTAGAATTGGAATCCACCCATTGGAACCGATTGATCTGCGTTGAACTGGTACTGATTGTTATTGGCCGATGGTGCGACTCGCACATCTTCCTCTTCCTCGCTGCTGAAGTACTGTTCAATTATGCAAAATGCTTTCTGGTAAATATCGCGAATATTATGCGACTGTAGAAATTCGATTTTGTCCAGTCCTGTATCGGGAATTATGATTTAAAAAAAAAAAGAAGTTAAAAATAGTCCAGGAATGAGCATCATTTCGTTACAAACCATAACATTCTTCAATCAAAACGGCATATGGATTTGGTTTCGTTTTATCCAGATCACCAGCCTTTAGAATATTCTCTAAGCCATTCAATGCCACTTGAATGATTTGCGAATCGACAACAGTTAACAGTTCGCACATTGGTGGTATACATCCGGCATCAACCTGTTACAACGATAACAAATTTCAATATTTTAGATAATTTGACCATCCTTTCTGTGTATGTCTGCCTAAAATATGGAAGTGATTGTGTGGGCGTCTGTGTGTGCATATATTTTTCTTCGATTTTCTTACCAAATATTTGATTTGTTCGGCTGTTCCGCTACTCGTGGCATTGGTAATCGACCATGCAGCCTCTTTGCGAGTTTTAAACTCATCGTTTTTCAGTATATGAATCAGCACTGGAAATATTTGTGCATCGATGACGGCCTGAATTTGCTGACGATTCCCTGCGGTTATGTTCGATATTGTCCACGATGCCTCTTTTCGAATTGACTCCTTTTCCGATGACAATAAGTGTAAAATGTGTGGCAATGCGCCCGAGTTCAAAATCACCTGAGTCTGAACATCATCTCCGGTTACAATGTTTCCGACCGCACGAAGGGCCGCCTTAACTATGCTATGTGAATCGTGTCTGGAAAATGCAGAGAAAGAAACATGCCACCCATAAACAAAGGAACAATCTTTCGAAACATGGTTTGAATTGCACCATCATAAAATATATGGGTAGGTTTTGATCTTTTTTGCACATTGTGTTTCTAAAAAGAACTCTGCATGTGAAAGCACTTACAACAATAGTTCAACAAGTCGACGGCAAACGCCAGCATCAATGACTGCCTGAATTTTGTCGTTTGGTCCGTCGGACAAATAGCTGATTGCCCAGCATGTATCACTCAGCACATCGATATCGGTGTGGAAGAGAAGTCGGGCAAGTACAGGCAAACCACGAACAACTTTCGAAAAATCGGCGGGCGGATCCTTTCCACGGCACAAATTTGATAATGTCCAAACGGCATTTCGAATCATTGGAATACGGTTGACGGTACTTAAAACGCTGCGAAATTAGTATTGAAAATCAATGGATTAATGGAAAATCGTGAGGAAAAGGTGAAGCGGAGGTAAGCGTATACGGTTACTCTTAATCATACTTTAATAGTGGCTGCATAACGCCATAGTCTAGCACATAATCTCTGCATTCCGATGAGTCTCCGGCAATGTTTCCCAGTGCCCATACCGCTTGCTCTTGCACATCATCGACTGGATTAGATAAAAGCCCAATGAACACAGGAACGGCACCCGCTTCGATTACCATTCTCGTTTGCTGTGATGTGCCTGACGCAATATTGGTGAGTGCCCAGGCTGCCTCAAACTGTTCATTCAAATCAAACGAAACGGTTTAATACAATTTTTTTTCTTAAAAAAAAATGCGCATGCATTGAAACTGATACACTGGTGTGGGTGGTGGTGGTGCTGCTGCTAACCACAAACGACGGCAGCGGCAGCGCCAATGGTTGCGAAGAAAGTTGGTATGAATGAATGAATACCTGCAATGTGGTGTTATTGTTGTTTTTCAGAAATTCAACGAAACGAGGAACGATGCCAGCTTGAATGACGTCATCGATTGGCGGATTGGGGTCTCGTGATAACAGCTTGCGAAACTTTTGTATTGCCCTCAGTTGATCCTCTTCTGACGTACTATACAAATCCGTAATCATTTCACGGCTGATTATCGCTAAGTTTGCATGTTCCACGGTTATGTCCTGTGTTAAGAGAAGAAAAAAAAACAACAATCAGTTCATATATGCATGTGTCAACACATTGTGCACACACACAACACGTCATGGGTGCAACGCATGGTGAAACCGCGCGCAAAATTATTTAATACCGTAATTGTGTTCTCTAATTCATTGTCCATGGCCTGAAAATTGTCCACATTTCGGCGTTTGATGAGCTGCTGTTCACGTTTTTGCTTGCGCAATTGGATACCCTCTTCTTCGCGACGACGTCGCATCTCGCTGGAATCAAGACCAACATTCTTGTAACGTTGCTTATGGGCTGACATCTAAACACGAAGGACAAAAAAAAAACAATCAAAACCAAACAAAACCACACACCATACCAAATGCAAGTAAGATGAAATCAATCAAAATAGCAGAGACGATGAATAAAAGCATTGAATTCGAAATAACAATGTGCCTGCTCACATTTCAACTTGTTTTGAAATTGCGATGTGTCGCAATGAGAAAGTGATTGTCAAAACTGTGTGTTTGGAATGGAAATGTGAAAGCGACTATGATTTCGGGGAAAATTTTGGAATTTTGCGAATTGTGTGTATGTCTGTGCATAAAATTGAATTTTTCGCACCGAAAAAAAAAACAATTCTGTCATTCAGTCAAAAGAAGAAAAAAAAATGCTCGGTTCAACATTTACGGTGTTGATACGTCAAAAATATTCGTATTTTCAGCCATATTGAATGCATTGCTGTACAAATATGACATACGACATTAGATGAGCACACCATGCATGCAGACGAAAATAAATTTCAAATGGATTTTTACCATATAAACGAAATATGCTTTTTGAACGAATCTTCTTCTCTGTCTTCTTTTCTTGATTCCACTTGCGTTGAACGGTTGCACTGAACTGTTTTCCAAAACAGAAAATGCGACAATCACTTACATTTGAAACACTTTTGTTGATTTCCTTTCAATTTGCACGAATAAATTAATGAACAAATAATATGTATATGTTCCAGACTGAAAATGTCAGAGATACACTGGCAAACCAATTAAAAAGTTCAATCACAGGTTACACCAAATGAGAAATGTGCGATGGTGAAAATGTGAGTGTGGTGAGTATGGCATCAGTTTGACAGATGATTTACTTGAAAGCTAGATGTTCAACATACACATGCAGAGTGACTGGTACGGTACGAAACGTAATGGGATTGCCTTCATAATGGACCAAAAACCAGAGAATATAGCGGATTTGATGGCCGAACATAAAAAATTAGTGGAACAAATGGCCAAAATTCCAAGCGAAAACGAAATGAAAACCGAAATCAGAGAACTAACGCACAAATACAACGAAGTTAAAGACGCTGCACAAACGGTCATTGGCGCAGTTGCCAATATGCAAAGAGTCACGATCAAAAGTGTACACAAAGAACTCGATTTACCATTAGATTAAAATTAAACGAAAAATTGATTTTTCCATTAAAACATTCAAAGAATATTGAAAAAATAAAAAAAAACTGTTGTTATTCTTTTTGCACTTGTTTACCATTACCAAATTAGCTGTCTTGCAAGTCGTAGAATTGAACGTATCCATTTTCTCTGCACACATTATCTAATATCATCTGATTAGATGAAATATGTCAAATGTTTCGGTGTCATGAACAATAACTGCCCGATCCGCATTTCGAATGCATTTTCAAAATTAACAAGCATCTCTTTATAGTTTTAACACACTATTTTTGATCCAAAATTTAGATTTCATTTCTTCTCCGGCTAAATTAGTTTTGACGAGAGTTTTTTTTACCGCTTACAATTATAGGTACTCAACTAATTTCACTGCTTATCGAAGTTTTACATGTACCATATATTTATACTGTTGCATATTACCTCCTGTTTCTTTAATTAATTCATTCAATACTATTTTCTCATTGTTTTGATTCTTTTCCGCCCAATTTTCATCGCTAGAGTCAATACCAAATAAAGAATGGCAGTACAATTTGAGTGCGGTGATTTTCTACTCTTTCAGGTTAGTATTTTATTTACCGAAACATTGAACCTAACCACACAAATGAAAGTGCACGTACGATCCAATGTTTGGAGCTGGTTTTTCGTTCTGTAAAATACTAATGAATCCATTCCATGGTTTATAGGCACATTTGAAGAAAATGCGAGATTTAGACGACAAAATTATTTATGTATTAAACACATCAATACCGACTGAATCGTTCAAAGGGCAACTAAATGCAAGCGATAAATGCACCGATTTGTATGACCAACTGAATTCAACGTATGACAGCCGAAATAAAATCATTAAAAATTGCATTGCGGTTACGGCGAACCGTGTGAAGGAGCTGAAAACTAAAAAAGACAGCGATGCAGACGATATCACTGTGTACAAAGACTTCAAATCGGAACAGCGAAAGGTAAACATTGCAATATCGGATTTTTCTTTCTTTCTTGTTGCTTGTTTTGATTTTTACTTATGTTTTTTTCTCGATCCATTCCACAGTTGCGAGTACTGCAATCGGAGTTAAATGTAGAAGACATAATCAAGGAACGCACCATGAAAATTTTCTACGAAAAATGCCGTACGTTCATCAAACAATAATGGTGAATAGTTTCAATGAAAAATTAGCTGCAATTCAGACAGACACAACATCCGACTGGAGTTCCTCCATTTCAAACCATTGTTTTTTTTAGTATTTGAGATTTTCTTCCAACACACGAATAAAGTAATTTTAGAAACAATAAAGAGAATTTAAATCACGAATGTTTGAAACAAGTTTCGAATTTATTTAGTTGTCTACGAATATATAAAAAAAGAAGTTATTAGCAGTTTCGATTGAACTAGAGAACATCATTCTCTGAATGTAACAAAAAAACTTGATCCGTGATGCGGCCAATGAGAGCGTTAAGTGTGTCATGATTGATATCCATCCAGTTATTCTCGAGCTGTGTTTCGACCAGATGATGAACCTCCTGCGGTGACATGTTCCCAATGTATTGATCCATATACATGGTGAAAAAGATGACAGATCGTTCGACCAACGGTGTCACAGTGTCGCAGATCGTATGAAACGCTTGTGCCGCTTTCGATGGTACCTTTTGCACATCCGATACATACATAATGCCTTCACGTTCAAGACGCTGTCGATACGCTGCTATAATCTCTCCGTAATCCTGTAGCATTACTTCCGTAGCAAATGAACTGCCGTCTAATTTGATTGGATCTCGTGATTTGATTGGATTTCGTGAATTCATGCAATATGCGGTCGCATTTAAAATGTTTGCCATCATACGTTCACTCATTTCGGCATCGTGGTGGACCAATAAAAATACACTTGGCTGGGCCGGCGTCTGATTCACCACATTCTCAATATTCTTCTTGAGCGATTTCCACAACGAAATATCTTGATTTTTGTAGTGTTCGCTCAATTCTCTGAATTGTGGACATTCAACCTTGGTTGGCAATGACTTCGCCGGATACAAAAAGAATACCGATGCACCAACTAAAGCTGCAACGATCGCAACCACGAAATAGATATTAAAACTGGATTCTTGATCATTTGCTGCGGTGCGACTGATTTCTATTTTTTTCACGGCAGTGTGCTTATTCAATTCATCTCTGAAGCTGGCTGGACTGTGTTTATTCAATTCACTACTGTAATCGTGTAGCTGTCTCCGTAGATACGTATAATCAGTGGAGTCATTCGTTCGATTGGCACTTCTGGTTGAATTGAGCGATATATTTTTGCTGGAATATTCATGAGAGATTTCGCCGTCAGATTCCTCAGAATAATCATATGATTCATTGCTAGGGTGGTAACATTCAGGTTGATATAAGGAGTTAACCGGCGATTTTCGGGGTGATGTACGAAGTGGCTTTCTACCTTTTGGTGAATTGTATCGCTATCGAAAAAAGAAGCAATCACAAAAATCAATCACTTTGATTTACAGTCAAGTTTTGTGATGAAGAAGAAGAAAACTACGACCAAACTTGTTTGCGCTTTGTATTACCTGATCATCCATCACGGCGGAAATATTTCAATGAGAAATTCGTTTCCTGAATCTAAAATCAAATGCTCACATCAGGGAAATGCAAAACCGAAAAAATAAGAAAAAATAGAACAAAACAAACGAGATCCAAGTGCAATTCAAGTTGATTTGCGAATCGTAAACATGATACTATGAACTTCAAAATAAGTATTGCAAAATGTCAAACGCATTGTTTGTGTGCGTTTAATGAAGTTTTGGAAAAAAAGGTGAAAATATTCACCACATTTAAAGTTTAACATTTGACACATCGTGTCAATATTTGTGCATAATCCTAACCACACTTTCATTTTTTCTTTCTTTTCTATCGTGCCTACCGTACGAACAACAACGATGCAACCACGCGCACCAGGTGAGTGTAATTTTTTTTTCAAATTTGGTTTTCACAGGTTACTATGGAAATTTAGAATAAAACTGTTTTTGTTTTCAGCTTCGGGAAGTATCATCACAAGTCCATCCGCGACAAATATATTATCAATCGACTCAGAATCCTGAGATCTATCGAATGAGGCATACCATTTTTTGATTTAACGATGCCGAAAACACCCTAGTGTTCATAATGTATGGACCAACATATCGAAAATGGAACCATTTTTTTTCTGCGCCAACCTACCGCTCAGATTCGATTCAACTGTCATAAGACATCATTGTGCTTTTTCGTCGAAAATGACGAAATTATTTATGAATAATATTTCAAAAGGTTTTTTGTTTGTCAATGAATTGAAATTAATGACTTTTCGTTTAATTCGTTTCTTTTTTCTTCTAATTTTTCCACATAGGCCGAACACTTCCAACGAATGGTACTGTGCCACCACCAATGACCGAAGCAGATCGGGCAAGAATCATTCAACTTCTGCAGGACATTCTTGCAGATCCGAATACTCCACAAGCTAATCGAGAAAAAGCAACAGAAGCATTGGCGATCATTCGACCATAAGCAGGCAACTAGCACCAAAAGTTACAGTCTGACGCATTCAAAACATTGCGATTAAGTTCAGTGACTGAACTTCAGTCTTAAACTAAGAATATGAGTTTTTGATTTTCAAATAAAAATCAATAGATTTACAAAAACAAGACGAGCGTGTTTTCATTTCAATCTCCTTCAAACCCATCCATTGATGAAAAAAAGTGGAAAAATACGGCCGAAACCGATGGATTTTCTGATGTACTTGAACATTTTGCCAAAATTTGAACCAACTTAGTTCGTTGAGACAAATGATGCATAAAAGATGGTTGCTAGTTCAAATGAGAGGAACTATTAGATGAGAAATACTTGTTTGAAATTAAAGGCAGTGAAGAAAATTAGATAAATTACATGTGCGATAACTGATCGTATGTGAAAAAGGATGTTTCCACCCTATGCAACTCCGTAAGAAAAAATCCGTTTTTTTTTTCAAATGAGTACGCATGTGTTTCATAGTAAAACAAACTAAACAGACAGATGTTTGTACAGAAAATGCTTCTTTCGTTTTGAATGTGTTAGTGTCGCACACTCACATATGTATGAATGAGTAAACAATAACATTATCAAGCCCGAAAATCTATCTCTCAGATTCGATGCAACTGTCATAAGACATCATTGTGCTTTTTCGTCGAAAATGACCGAATTTTGTATGAATAATATTTCAAAATTTTTTTTGTTTGTCAATGAATTGAAATTAATGACTTTTCGTTTAATTCGTTTCTTTTTTCTTCTAATTTTTCCACATCGGATAGGCCGAAACCTCCCTACGAATGGTAATGCAACAACCAGTATGACGGCAGCAGAAAAGGCCGCAACTATTGAAGCACTGCTGGAAGTTCTGGCATTGGAGAATATTCCACAAGCTACGCGAGAAAAATTGACAAGAATATTGGAGACCCTTCGATCATAGGCTGGCCTCAAGCCTCAAGCATTCAAAACATTGGGATTAAGTTCAGTCTTAAACTAAGAATATGAGTTTTTGATTTTCAAAGAAAAATCAATAAATTTACAAAAACAAGACGAGCGTGTTTTTATTTCAATTTTCTTTGAACCATACCCAAACCTTTTGTTTTTGATTAAAAAAAAAGTGGAAAAATACGGCCGAAACCGATGGATTTTCTGATGTACTTGAACATTTTGCCAAAACCAACTTAGTTCGATGAGACAAATGATGCATAAAAGATGATTGCTAGTTCAAATGAGGGGAGTTCTTATGAAAATCCAAAGGGAATCAAATCGTAAAATCATCAAATTTGAACAATCAGTCGTTTAGTCGTGACAGGGTCTAACATTCAGGTTGATATAAGGAGTTAACCGGCGATTTTCGGGGTGATGTACGAAGTGGCTTTCTACCTTTTGGTGAATTGTATCGCTATCGAAAAAAGAAGCAATCGCAAAAATCAATCACTTTGATTTACAGTCAAGTTTTGTGATGAAGAAGAAGAAAACTACGACCAAACTTGTTTACGCTTTGTATGTACCTGATCATCCATCACAGCGGAAATATTTCAATGAGAAATTCGTTTCCTGAATCTAAAATCAAATGCTCACATCAGGGAAATGCAAAACCGAAAAAAATAAAAGAAAAGGAGAACAAAACAATCGAGATCCAAGTGCAATTCAAGTTGATTTGCGAATCGTAAACATGATACTATGAACTTCAAAATGAGTATTGCGAAATGTCAAACGCATTGTTTGGAAACCAAATCAAGTCCCGATCGGACTTACTGTTATGTTCGGTGTAAAAGTTCATGGTGGCTTGAAAAATATTCGATTTTGAACCGATTTTCAGTGCAAAATTCGATTTTATTTATTGATAAGTTATCAATGATAACATTGCATTTGTATGGAAACCACAAAGCGGTTTTTTTTGCGCGGTGAGATATGTGCGCCGTTTAGAAAAAACACAAAGACCCGAATCGATGACAAACTCCCGCTCAATTCAAATGATTCACGTTTACGAGTAAAATTCGAATAATTTACTGGAAATTCTAGGTAGAACACGTCGGCAATTTTAATGATCGTGCATATAATTACGGCGCGGCTTAAAAAGAGAGAAAAAATTGATACGAGCCCAAAAACACACATATATCGAAACATGATACACTGAAACCACATGAAGGCCACCGTCAGAAGAAATTGACTCAGTCTGAGCCATTAATACGTTCAGAAATAGTGATACGTTCCATGGCACACGATTCTAAATTGCCGTATGAAACGGAAAGAGAGAAAAAAGTGTCATCGTAAAATTGGATCGATTGGAATAGCGCACATACATCGAATATGAACACAATAAAAGTGTGATCATTCGTCAAAGCACGTACGACGTCTTCCCAACGCCTTTAAAATGTCCCAACGATGTGAGTGAGCGAGAACAATGAGCAAATTCACAAGTTCATTATCATGTAAATAATTAATGCATAAACAACGACCAGAGACTGTCGCATGTACCAGTTTATTAATATTTTTTTTTTTCTCCGTGCTACACACTTGGCTCAAATTTATGTATATATAGTAAATTCGTTGTTGACCGATTGCGGTGCGCCGCAAAAATCACTGTTGAATTCATTCCGAGGCGTTAAGATCACACACACACAGCACATTCTCTCGGTTCTGTGTGTCGTCATATAAAAGTGGCGAACATAGAACGTTTCGTTTCATTTAAAAATTTAACAAGTACGCTCCCGGTTGGTTGACAGTCACATCGATCGGTCATTGCGAATTTCGTGCGATTAAATGTTAAAAAGAATTTATCGATCATAACAGTAATAAGTTTAACGAGAATTTTTCATTTTCCTGAAGTGATAACGAAAACTTTTAAGTTGCTTAAAAATGAATTTCAAATTATCGGTTATCCTGGTTGTATTTTGTTTGTGCGCACTTAGCGTAGCCACTCCAATCTTTGGATTGTTTGGATCACGCTACAATTCTGGAGGCGGAGATGGTGGTGGATATCAGGGTCGAAGTTACAATGACATTGCCAGAGTGATAAATCCCAGTCCATATGCATTTCCCGGTCGATCACCATACCCATCGCAGCCATTCTGGACGTATTCTGGTTAGAGACATCAACTGAATCCTGTCTTCATCCAAACTTCTGAACTTCATCTCATTTGTATGCCAATCTGAATCGAATCAATTGGAGAAGATTATGGGAGTACCAAATTCTGTTAACATTTAATCGAATAAACAAAGAGAAGAAAAATCGCTATTTTGAATTTCTGCTTTATTTATGAAAATTCAAAGAGACGGTTTTGTTACCATTGTTCTTAAAGCTTTGAACATATTGTAAAATGAAAATTAAGAAAAAATTGAATCGAAAAAAAATAAAAATAAATTAAAAATGTTGAAAAAAAGTTGTTTTTGTGCACTTGGTTCATTGCATCGATCATGATCGACAACGGCATGAGTTGCATAGGGGCATCATAGTGGAAAAAAGTGCAATAATAATGGATACAATTAAAAAAGGTGCCGAAAGCAAAGAAGTTGATAGGTGACATGTGTGACACATAAATTTTAATGATTTCTTATGTTAATATCCACAATGTTTTGGACAGCCGCACCGAAGCACTGATCAAAGGCAAGGTTATTGCTGCTGATGTCGACACCGTACAAGAGATTCTAATACGTCAGACAAACATATTAGCACTACATGAAAAGCTACTAATCTGCTTTTTTTTCTAGATACTTTTCGAGTGATGAAACAAATTATGGTGAATTTGAATTTTATGCGCATATTTTTTATTTAATTTAAACCAAAGGCAGTATATTTCAAAAAAGAAATTAAACCAACTTCAAAGTTACTTTGATGAAATACACTTCGTGTAGTGCGCCAAAAAATAGTTTGTTGTGAAACTAAACAGCACCATTGCATAATACATTCAATTCCCTCGATGCGGCTATACACAGTTTGGCTGTGATGATCGGCGCTTGTCTTCGTGCAACACTGAATGACCGTTTTTCTATTGGCACACAACCAATGCTCCTTCGGTTATATGCAATTTTAAAATTGGCCACTTGTTATTGCGATTTTTTTTTCTCATTCCTTCAACCTCACCCGATAAAATATTATTGATTTATTGATTTGGTGCTGCGAGTATACAGCACAAAATTTGTACACCGAACGTCAGCGAATCACACATTGTCTACTCAAAATGTAATAAATTCATGTTTGTTGCAGCTTCTGATGCAAAGTGAATGTTTATTACAATTTTCTGTAATTACAGTCTAAGCGTATATTGTAAATCTTTAGCGATAGGTGCACCTCATAAATTTTTATGTCCTCAAATTCACTTGATTGTATGCTGAGATAAACTGAAATGGTTTGCATCAAATGCATTCTAGATTAGAACGGCCAAGTCAAGTGGCATGTTGTTGTTGTGAGTGTCTTTTTTTCATCGCAGATGCAATTTTACAAAATTTATTATGAATATTATGAAAATTCTGCCTGATCATAGCTACATGAGATAGCTTAGAACCTTTGTGCGAAAATAAAGTCAAAGCAACTGGTGAGTATTAAATTATGATCTACAAAGCGCATTGAAATTCAACAACCTGTAGTCAACAACTGAAACAAAAAGAAATGACATGAATTTCAAAATGTTCAAAACAGTTACATACAGGGGAAATTAATTGTGTGTTAACTTTAGATGAATGCCGAAAATTGAATCGTTTTTAAGAAATATTCTACTTTGACTTCCACAATTTGAAGATACGCGATCATAATAATTAATCATAGTTTAACACTTTCTTATCAAGTTTACAGTTTCCGCTGTTTCAGAACATTCACCATTCATCTTATGGGATGAGTGAAGTGTTTACATGTACTGGAACACATAATTTGTTGCTGCCTCGGTCGTTATTACCGTAAAATACGAGTAAATGTTTCATGGAGTGTCAGTGTGATGTACCTGCAAAGGGTAATCTTTTTAATTATATATTTCGACACCTTGTCGTAGCATGGCATCCGTTTGCTCGTGTTGAAAGCAAGTGCCGAAAACAACTTGTCACGTTTCACGTGCTCGAAAGCCCAAGCAATGCATAACAACAGCGAATGTGTATGAGACAGAGGAATGAATGAATGTAAAAATCAGTGCAGCATCAGAAATAAATTGTACGGTTGCAGCTAGGCCGTTTTGACCCCGTTCGCGAGGCACCTTGTACCTGGCATTTCTGTACCAAAGCAACGTTGATCAGTTTATTTACAATGTGCATATTCAATTTTATTGTCGCTATATCGTCAGATCTCCTAATCAATCGCATATTATTAATTTTCATCTATTTTTTTTTCATTGCATAGAATTTTCATGCTGAGTCTAATTGGCTGTTGATGACATGTGTAAAATTTGATTGAATTTAAATACATAGAGGAAAAAATCAGATGAATTACACATGCATTTTCTGATCGTATGTGATAAAAGAATGTTTCCTCCCTACGCAACCCCGTAAATAAAAATCCTTTTTTAAATGAGTACGCATTTTCGTTTCGGATGTGTTAGTGTCACACACACACACACACATTCGCACATGTGTATGCAAGAATCTTAGTTTTCGATTTCCAAATAAAAATCAATAAATGTACAAAAACAAGACGTGTTTTTTATTTCAATTTTCTTTGAACCATACACAAACCCTTTGTTTTTGGTGGAAGGTGGAAAAATACGACTTTCTGATGTACTTGAACATTTTGCCAAAATTCGAACCAACTTAGTTCGTTGAGACAAATAATGCATAAAAGATGGTTGCTAGTTCAAATGAGAGGAACTATTAGATGAGAAATACTTGTTTGAAATTAAAGGCAGTGAAGAGAATTAGATAAATTACATGTGCGATAACTGATTGTATGTGAAAAAGGATGTTTCCACCCTATGCAACTCCGTAAGAAAAAATTCGTTTTTTTTTTCAAATGAGTAGGCATGTGTTTCATAGTAAAACAAACTAAACAGACAGATGTTTGTACAGAAAATGCTTCTTTCGTTTTCAAAGTGTTAGTGTCACACACTCACACATGTATGAATGAGTAAACAAAAACATTATTAAGCCCGAAAATCTATCTCTCAGATTCGATGCAACTGTCATAAGATATCATTGTGCTTTTTCGTCGAAAATGACGAAATTATTTATGAATAATATTTCAAAAGGTTTTTTGTTTGTCAATGAATTGAAATTAATGACTTTTCGTTTAATTCGTTTCTTTTTTCTTCTAATTTTTCCACATAGGCCGAACACTTCCAACGAACGGTAATGCACCACCACCACCAATGACCGAAGCAGATCGGGCAAGACTCATTCAACTTCTGCAGACCATTCTGGCAGATCCGAATACTCCACAAGCTGCGCGACAAGCAGCTGTTGCAGAAGCATTGGCGATCATTCGACCATAAGCAGGCAACTAGCACCAAAAGTTACAGTTTGACGCATTCAAAACATTGCGATTAAGTTCAGTGACTGAACTTCAGTCTTAAACTAAGAATATGAGTTTTTGATTTTCAAATAAAAATCAATAAATTTACAAAAACAAGACGAGCGTGTTTTCATTTCAATCTCCTTCAAACCCATCCGAATGGGTCGAACCGATGGATTTTCTGATGTACTTGAACATTTTGCCAAAACTCGAACCAACTTAGTTCGTTGAGACAAATGATGCATAAAAGATGGTTGCTAGTTCAAATGAGAGGAACTATTAGATGAGAAATACTTGTTTGAAATTAAAGGCAGTGAAGAAAATTAGATAAATTACATGTGCGATAACTGATCGTATGTGAAAAAGGATGTTTCCACCCTATGCAACTCCGTAAGAAAAAATCCGTTTTTTTTTTCAAATGAGTACGCATGTGTTT